TACCTCAAAAAGTGAGGAAGATAGGAAAATACGTGATAAACGATGGCACGTGATAATGTTAGAAAACGTGTGCTGTGAAAAATGGGAAAATGATGGTGAGAAAGAGAAAGAAAAAAAAACAATTTACTTGAGTATGTACAAATTAAAATTCTGGAATAAATCAATAACTTGAATGTTAATGAATCATTGTAATCACAATGATACAATAAAACAATAAACGTTCGGGTAACAAACGCACGTGAATTGACGTTGGCCATTATAGCAATGGACAATTGCACCCAGTCATTATGAACTGAGTTCGTGCAACAGTCGCACTAATACGTGCATAACTGTAAACAATAATAATACGTATTCACATAGTCAAGCGCAATATATTCTTATTACAAACAAAGATGTATCACGTGCACACGTACAAACGTATATATACATATTCACGTACGCATACAGAAATCCAATAATTGCATTGCGGATGTGCGCAAACATGTTCAGAACAAATGCATAAGCATTAGATGCGGTGATTGTTCATCGTTCATTTAGACAGAAGCGCATATGTGCATAGATTGGAGCGATTGTCAAATCTTCGCAATCGTCATACTTTGATGATAATAGCACGTGTCAGATGACAGGTTGACCTTTCACGCCATCTAGTAACTATGACAAATGTTAATTATATACATATCCACGCAGATATGTCAAATTGTGTTCATCACATGTCTTGTGGAAGCTGATTTTAGGCCATTGATGATTTGCAGTCAGTCAACACAATCAAGTAACATCCCATTGCACGTTGACCTGAATTAGGAGACCGTCATAGTCATCTAGATGAATGACGTGATGACGTACAGGTAGTCAAGGAACTGGAGGACAGTCAAGTACTCCACCACCAGGACAGCTCCTTGTCAGTTCGTATCACGGACACCTGCTTAATACTACCTTGCCTTCTTCTTTTTCCTTCTTTCTCTTTCTCTCTCCTTTATCAGCCACCCTCGCTCTGTAAGCTAATATTTGCGCCTAAATAAGAAACACTCCAAGTGCTTTGAACCAAAAAGGGTTCTCCTGGAGACACTTTTTTATAGAACACAAATCGGCAATAAAAATTGAAATGAATATGATTTGCTGAAAGACAGAGAGAGGGAGTGGGAGAGAGAGAGCTTAAATGTCATTATCCCAACTGCGCTTCTCTATTAGGATGACGAAATGACCGGGCAGATATGTCGTATCACATTAGAATAAAACAATTATGATCGTTTTGCCAGACAGATTATAATTTGTTGAAATTTCAAGAAGTGGTTCAAAGTTCATTCAAATATACAAAAAGTGAATGAATGAAATGAGAGTGATGGAATGCCTATTATAATGTATTTGAGATGAATGAAACCAAAAGAAAAAAATTGAAGAATTGAACAAAAATTTTTTTATGGATATTGCCTTTTTTATTATTAAATTTAAATGTGAATTAACATTTTATTTCAATCACCTTCAATTTCTAGCAAAAAATGAAAATTTCTAACTTTATATGAATGAAAGTATGAAATTTGCGCGATAAATTTGAATAGTTAAATAATGGGAAATGAAATTAAGTGAGCAAAAATGAGTCTAAAATATTGGTGTCAATTAATATTAATTAATAAAGTAATTATTGCAATATTGCAAATATTTTGACGAAAAAGAAAGTTTTCATAATTTGACATATTTTTTTTTCTTCACATAATTGCTACTTTTTTAATGTAGCAAATTAATTGTTATAAATTGCACTAATTCAATTTACTTATTCATTTAATTATTCAAGATTTACGTAGTATAACTTAAGAATAATTATATCCTACCTAAAAACTACCTGAAAAAATTTCTTCTATTTAAAGTTTTTTATTTTCGTTTCTTGTGAAATTAATTCTTTAGTTAATACAAACGATTAGTACACAAGCATTTAAACATTTTTATTATTATATATCCGAAAAATATTTAAAATAATATTTAGCATTACAATCCGACAATTCCAAAATTCAAGTTTAAATAAATTTCAACAAATGAAATCAAAATTTTTCTATGTATACTTAAATAATTGATAAAATTATTTCAGCATATAAACTAACACATGGAAACGGTTAGTTGTCAATTGCAAGCCATTATATATCAATCGATAACTGTTGTGAGTAGTGGTAATCCATTTCTACACAACACATTGTGCAGCACGGGGTCAAATGACTTGACCTCTCGCCAATATAGTCGCCAACTTATCTCTCTCATCCTTCATTCTTTTTACAGCATATGCATCAAAATTATTTGGTTCATATGCTTTTTTACTTTTTTCATTGTTTTCAAATTTAATAATGCAGCAATTTTAATAAATTGATTTGAATTTGATTGATCTATTTTCAAATTTGAAGTGATTTATATCACTTAACCTTTTTAGGCGACCTTATGCGCGAAATTATCACCGTTTCGATTATTCCACACTTGTCATAATTATCATTACTGCTAGTTTAATCAATCTTTTGTCATAGTGGTCAAATGGTCAGTGAAAAAAACCAATTATCCATTTTTTCTATCACCGTTTGTTGTTCCATTTTAAATTTAATCTTTAATCTGAATAAGATTTAATTGTAAAGTATTTATCTTATTAGGTTTTGCTATATAAGCGGGTTATTAGGGCACATAATCTGAAATTCTATTTTTTTTTTTTTTTTTTTGGAAGCTTCGTCGAACTTTTACTTTCAATATAATAGAAACTATTAGCAATTTTATTGAGAAACTTATCAAATAAATTACAAATTTCAAAATTTGTAATTGAAATTTTAGTTTTACAACTGATTTCGTTTACCATCTGAAGTATTTGGATATGGAACAATATGCACATAATATATGTTTGTTTATTTTTGTATAGTTGTTTACAATTGATTCATTTGTCATCTACTATGCTAATTACATAGTATTAATTAAATAAAAGAAATTTAGTGTTATGCCATAAACATTCATTTTTATTCCTAGTATATTCAGATTATTTATTTTGTTTATTTTTTTAGTTTTTTTTCAATAATAATAATAAAAGACTAATTATATATTATTTATGTTTTGTTTTGTTAGTTCACTTATTGCTTCATTCATCAGCTGATCAATTACTTAAGCGTTAGCACAAAAATATTCTATTTGATGTTTGAATTATATGATGATTAATTAGTTAATAACAATAATGTTATTAGTTAAACACCATTATTTATTTTAAAATATTTATTCAATTTTTCACCAAGCATTATATGAAGTTATTCGCTTTTCTTTCATTCTTCTCCCATCATTTTCCGCTTATTTTTGAACATTTTAAAAAATTTCAAAGCTTTATGTGTAAAACTGCTTTAACCACTTGCCTAACTAATCGACTCACCATTGAAATGACTCAGTCAGAATTTAAAATATTTGATAAATGATGACTGCGACAAGTTTTATCCCAAATTAATTATACAAAAATTCAATTTTAAGTTAGGAAAAGTTCCTCATATATTTCACTTGTCACTTCCCAGTTTAGGCAATAGTCTAATTTATCATAGCACAAATATTTTCGTATCATTGTAAACAATTTCAAATATTAGAATGAATTTCTACACTATTCTATTGTTCGTTTACACTATATTCAACAATAAAATATTAACGATTTTTTTTTCGGATTTAAGACATACAAAGTGCCACCGATAATTTAATATGATAGACAGAGACAAAGAGAAAGAAATTAGGCAGAGAGAATTTATAGATTAATTGCAATAATTTCAGACTGCTACTCTTCCTCTATTCTATCCTCTTTCTTAAGGCGTTTTTTTCAATTTCAGATAAACTTCCTCATTGTAGATTTATATTTTCACAAAAATAAGAGAAAGGATAATATTTGATTTTTTCTTAGTCAAAAACATAAAAAAAACTATTTTTATTTTTGGTTTGAAAAGAAAGTAAAGCACAACATCCCCGGCATTTAAGAATAAAATTTAGTTATTTAATATTTAAAAGTGTTATTGATTGGAAAAATTTTTTTAGACTTCAAGAAATATTTGAATAATTTCAAAAATTTCGACAACTCATTCAAGTAGATTTTCAACCTTTTCTCCAATTAAGTTTATCCATCTCGACACGGAAATTCCATGTGGCATTTCTGGTTTCGTGGAATAGCTGTAGTTAGATTTGTCTAATATAGATGTGACAAGATGTTTTAGAGAACTTCAACAATGCTTGCTTTTGCCGATCGATTATCAGCTTGATAAATTGTCAACAAGTTTCAACGCATTGATAGTGTCATTTAAGCAACTGATCCGACTTTCGATTCCCATAACAATTACTTCCAGATAATCTCATAAAGGTAAATACTTGTTAAAAATGAAGAGTCGAGTTTTTGATTAAAATAATAGGTGTATGAAAAGGAAAGGTTGACTGTTAAGTTGAAACTACTTCTAATGTCTATGTGAATACATCGAAAATATTATCATTTAATTGATGAATTATTCAATTTAACTTATTTCCTAGTTTGATGGTACAAAAATGGCAATGAGAAATACTTGATAATTCCTACTGAACAACCATCATAAAATCAATTATTTCAACATGAATAGAACCAGCAAATGAACAATATACTAGGGTTTTTTTTTTGATATCATTCTCAATGTCACATCATTTTACACCACTTGTTAGAGCAAAGTTAGAATCAATTTTTTTTCTTGAATTAAAATATAAAAATTACTAAAATGACTTGTTAAAAACTGAATTTGTTTATTGTACCTTTATTTTACCTTGCAATTAAAACAATTAACAGAAAAGTCACAATTTTATGGCTATATTTTTCAAAGGAAACAAAGAAAAATTAGTTTCAATGACCGGCATCACTTCTGAATATCAATAATCAACATTTCAAAATGAAATGGCATGGCAAATTAAGAAAAAAGTTAACTGTTATTAAAATATTTTAAACAATCATTTATAAATTATTTAAAATTAACAAAATGAAACAATTTATCAATGATCCGTTACGTTATCATTCCCTTTATTTGGCACAATGAACCTTTGATTTCGACGTGAGAAAATTTGATCGCCACTTGGTCACCAATCTCTGGAGATTTCTCTGTGTTCTTTATACGTGCAAAAAAAGTTATCGTGTTATGTAGTTTGGCGGTTACGAATTTCTTAAAAAAAAAACACAATAAAAATTAAAATAAAATTGTATTAAAAAGTCAATGACCGTTAAATAATCTGATTTAAAGTGCTAAGCATTATTTCCTACTTGTTTAGTATTCACTATATAACCGCATACAATTGAGGAACAGTCCACAACGATACATAGCATACTAGAAGAGGAGTGGATAACAGGGCAGATCAAATTAATAACACTTGCTAAAACCTGTTTAAATTTAACTGTTTCAAATTTGAGTTTTCTTTAAAAAAAAACATTTCATGCTTTAAGTATTAAATAAAATTACCTTATCAACAGCTGCTACCACGCAATTATAAGTATGGCCTTGTTTCGGGCGAAATACAATACAGTTTACATTTAAATCAATATGCATACATGGTTGATCAGCGATACAAAACGGTTTGTCAACAATATCAACCTTTCCCACAGCTAATAAGATACCGTCTAATCTAGAATATAACACTGTATATAATTCTCAACAAAAAGTAACGCTTCAGTGAAATGTAATTTGATTTGAATTTAATTAATAAATATAAACTTTAAGACAAACTACGATGCAGTCAAGTACCATACTTCAAAACAACTAAAATTAAATTAATTTCGTTCCTTTTACCTTTAATAAACAGCCAACCAACCAACAAACAGAGTAGCTTCTAGTGGAATATCCTTGATTTGAGATTTAAAATTTGTTACATCACGCAACTTACATTTCAAACCTCACTTTTTCAGTAGAAATTTGCACGCTGAATAACTAATCCTTATAGACTAAGGATAACGCTATCAGATAACGCTATCAGATATAATAAGGAAAAAAATTAAAATATGAAATAATGGAACGACTTCATGTGCTATTCATTTTCAACTACAAACATCACTGACAAGTTCCGTGCCGAAAAATGAATAGGATCTACAAAAACTAATCATGAAACTTACGATTTCCTATACTGACCAAGTGAAGAGTTTAAAATATATCTGATAGCGTTAGCAGCTTCTCCCAACTGATGCCATCCAATCGTTATGTGGCGCTTTTCTACTACTACAAGCAGATCACAATTTGCATCTGTAGTCATAATTCTGTAATTTTATAGTAAAAATAAGCTAGCAAATTTAAAACCGATAAAAAAACATGAAAAGAATCTTATTTGAAAATTACTTGCTAGTAATATTATACAAATTCAATAAATTCGTTTTTTTTTTTCTTTTTTTTAATATCGTCAGGACCCATCCAATGAATTTCCAATATAACAAAAATTGTCTAACTGGAATAGTAAAAGTTGAAGGAAGAAAAAAGGAGAGAAAATAAAGAAAACTACCGCTTTAATTTCTGATAACTCATCCCAATATATCGATCCATTCCCATTTTCAGTTTATTATCATAATAGTTTGTTATTTTTTTCTTGCCCTTTCCGATGGAATTTCGCGACGCTTCACTTGAATCCATTTCCAATACATCACCATCATTTTGTAATTTGATCCTTTTCATGCCGGTTCTAACGCTAGCTCCCGCATTTTCCAATCTTTTTCGCTTACCCATATTCTATTACTTCAGTTTTGAGAAGACCTCTAAATTTGAAAATTAAAACAGAAAACAATAAATTCAAATACGTTTGTAAATTGCAATAAATAAAAAGAAATAAACGAAGGCAAAAATTTTGATCCTGTGATTTTTTTGATGAAAAACACTGTCTAACAAATAGTTTATCATAAAATAATCGCATCGGATTCATTCATTAAATACAGTGTTATTCTGCACACATAATTAAAAAGTTGATAAATACAAGGAAATTTCATGATAATTTCAAGGGTATATTTGGCCATAAGTGTGCACCAGGTTGAGAATAATTCTGTTCGAATCGGAGATCTAAATGTGCTTCCATTGCCAAAATTTTCTCAGCATCATTGCCATATAATTCCTTCATTTTATCGAACTTTTTTAGTCGTTCAGCAGGTCCATTAGGCAGTTGAAATGATCGTTTTTCGTTGCCATAAACACCAACTGCAATAGTATGGCTGACGGAAAATATCGTCTAAATTACTTGTACATCTTAAATATGATTTAAGATTTCGCTTATGCTAAAATTTTTACTGACAATTCTTCATTACACTGAACAGAGAAGTTAGCAATAGATAGCTTTGATTGGCTGACGTAGATGAACCAGATTAACCCAAGATATTCCCAAAAGAATGCGATTTTCATAACAGCAAAGATTCAGCCTAAACAAGAAGCAAATACGAGGGCAGAAAAGAACTTACTCTTATCAGCCATTACATAATGATCTTCTGTGATGCAACTATCTTCCTTATATCTCTTGGCTTCTTTGCTTCGATCAGCATCTCCTAAAACAGTAAACCGTTTAAAAAAATATGATTCCTATAAAATGGATGTTGAAAAAAAAAAGCATCAAAAACTTGGAAGATACTCTGTTTTCTGTGCTCTATTGTTTGTCTGAAAAAAGCAGCCATTTCGCTACTCATATCAATGTCTTCGCCCATGTCTCCTGAAGATGACCCCTGTCTTTCATCTGATAAAGAATCGTTGTTGCTGGTTCGTGCTAAAATGCACTTTTTTTTTTTAAATTCGTATTTATAAAGTGCAAACTGTTTACAAAATATATAACAGCTATACGATAAAAATGATACATTTCTCAATTCTAATCTCTTTTCTATAATTAGTTTGGCAAATTCATGATAGACTAAAAATTTTTTAAATTCAAATTAAAGCTGTTTATAACATATAGAAAAAAAACAAGTTATAGATTAACATAATAAATTTAATCAACCGTCATTGTTACTACTACTACTACTAAAGCTTCCATATAATCCCTGAGTGGGTAAATGGTTTAAAATACAAGCTTCAAAATTATTTTAACAAATTACCTATAAAACATAGAATTAACGACACATGTGCATTCTTGCCAAAGCCAAAGAAAAAAAATGTTTAGCAATGGCAAATAATACATCCATATAATCTATAAACTTCTAACTGCTTAAAAACATTCAAACTGACAAATGATTACTATTCAGAAAACCTGTTTTATTGATGTTAATCATATCAGATGAACCATTGACCGCGTATTCACGAGCTGCTTGATGTGCATTAAACCACCGTAAAGCTGCCCGGTGATAGTTCCAAAAACTCTTTAGATGTCGATCATCCATAAACCAAACATTATTGCTATACATCCTCTAAATGAATGAAATTTGCCTCAGTCTGCTATTTCTTGCATGCTCAATAAGCATGACTTCCAATATTAACCCACCAATTACACAAAATGTCAACAAAAACTTCCAGTGAGAACTTACTTCAATAAAACATGCCTTAGTTACAGATAAAAAAATCTCCACTACTTCATCACTAAAAACACTGAAATCACTGTAGCAAGAAATATGATAAATTCTAATGTAATTCATGTCATCCAAATTTCAGTTTTTCGACTTCATATTCGGATAAATACAAATCAAAAACATAGGATAAATGATATGAAGTAACTTCAGATGTGCTAAAATAATTTATTATCAATAATGGAAAATCAATCACTCAGAAACTATCCATCAATAAGTACTGAATAGCTGAGGAAATCGCATAAATGCATACACATAAGCACATATATGGCAATTCCTGACAGAAAAACAAGCACCATAATTAAGAACTTATTTTCACATAGCTAAAATTTAAATAGAGGAGAAGAGTAAGAAAACAACAGCACTATTGAAATTTAATAGAATGAAATACAGTTCAGTTTGAAACTTTCATTGCTAAAAAGGAAAAAAAAAAAAAAAAAAAAACAAATAAATAATGCATAGTTTTAGGGAAACGATGTAATAAATATCGACTTATTGGCAACTATAAAAATCGCACAGACAAGAAACGCTTTGGAGTATTTGATTTTGTTCATTTATCTTTTTATAATTTTAGTTGTTCATTCTGCGATCTTAGTGATGCAAATACAGCAACTAATCAATATGCTTTGAATTATAAAAATAAATATTAAATTGAATACTACCAATCAATAAAAGGTTAAATGAAAACGAGTAATTTTGAACACAATTTACTGTAAACGAAACTATTGAACTCGCCAATTTCTAATTTCTAAATGGTTGATACTGAAACTTCCTTTGCGTCATAGAGCAACAAAAAAAAAAGTTACCAATTTGCTTCGTTTACCATTTCATTGGCTCGAGTGAATTCAAATTTAATGTCCAAGCGATTGCAACATTTAATTCAAGCTAAGCAAATTGCAGAAATATAGCCACGCAAACATAGTTCCTAACTATATTTGAATGAATTATGCAATTATTAAGCGCTTCACCAAACTTAAGTGACGAAAGGAATGAGCAGTTAATATAAAACAAAACAAAACAGCACACCTTTTTCAAGAAAATTTAAAATTTGAGATTCAAACATGACATTATTTAGTTACCTTATACAGCTCGAAGTTCAGTATAACAATACAACTTTATGATTGTTCGAGCATCATCAGTTCAGATCAGAATGAACTGATAATTGCCCACTATTATGCACGGAAAGAGGTAATCAGTAATAAACAAAAGAAAATAATCAAACATAATCGCAGTTGCTGAGCGATCAGATAACCATACGAACTTCACCATCATTGTTACGCTCAGCGTGTTGTTCCTCTTCGGCTTTTTTCAATTCCTTCTGACGTCGCTTCGCTGCAGCCAAAGCTATTTGTCGGCGTTGAACTTCGGACGCTATTTTTTCACTATTTATAACTGGTAAATGGGACTGTATTTTCTTTATATTGTCGCCACGATTATCACCGACAGTGCTGAAAATAGAATGAGTTCGATATAAAAGTTACCTCGATCATCATAGTAACGAAAAATTGATCGTTCTGTAGAAGTGAGACAAAATAGACAACGAGAATATGTTACATTTTCGTTTATTTCTCGTAATATTAAAGCTGAGCAGTTGACTTGAAGTTTAGAAAATGTGACTCGAAAAATGATACTTTTAATTTTAATTAAAACAGTTTAAAAATTCCATCTGAATTTTATTTTCTATAACAATAGTTCCAACGCAATTAAAACAAAAGCAACTACCTTACTGAACGGGATTCTGGTTCCGATAACGTCCAGTGATTTTCACGAAGAAAATTGATTTCACGGAAGTTAGCCTCTAGTTCCTTCAGCTCAATACTAATCAATGCCCAGTAACCAGAAAGATCGCTAAGATTTACCTGTCCCACATCTGAATTTTGATCCTGAAAGTTGGCTTATACTAATCCAATATAACAAAATTTTGTTTACTACAAGATTAAGAACGGATGGGTTTATTATTATAAGCAGATATTTCAGCGATGTCTGGATCATATGAAAATAGATTTGAAATTACAGTTCTAAGATTATGATCCCATCTCAATAAAAACTATGGACTACTCCAGTGAAATATTAACCAAATGGTTTTTCAAAAGATCTTCGAATTTCGCCATTTTTCTGTCCAACAGAAGACCTGCTTTTCCAATTGCAGTTCTAAGCGTTCCTGCAGCATGCTCCGGCATTTCTTGTTCTGGAAAAATGGAAAAACAATAATCATGTTCTAAAGAAAGATGTCAAAACCTCATGAAAGCCAGCATGTATGCCTTTGATGGGTACTGGATTAAAATGAACTGTATCATACGATTTAAAAGATCATTTTTCGCTTGGTTGCAAAGCAGCTGCAAGTTCGCCCTGGCTTCCATCAACAGACTGCGATATGTTTCTCCATCAGGCAAAACGAAGTTAATGCCATTTTCATTTTTAATTGTTTCCGCTACTTGTTCATTCGTTAATTGTCCATTACCAATGCTTATCTAAAACAGAGTTTTCATATTTGCGTAAACTTCAAATATGGCCAGTCAATATGGTCGAAATAGCAGAAACAACTACGATAAAAAAATCAATACGGCATTAATTTAATTTAATTACAAATGATAGAATTTTGAGAGTTAACATCAGATAGTACATATATTAATTATCTTTCAATTTTTTAAGAGATGGATAAACCCTCAAATTTTCGCAGCGACAAATCTTCAAAGTTTATTCACTTGGATATTTAAACTGCGTGAAACTAATGAAGAATGATTTAAGAGTGATTTTCTTAGATATGGTAAAATTACTTAAGCAATATCGTATATATGAAAAAAAAAAAAATATATATATATATATATATATATATATGAAAAAATCTAACCTCTGACTGATTAGCAATGTGCGGTTCACTCTCTATTGATGTTTTTTGTAGAGCTTGATGTATTTGATGTGCAATGCATGGTTTTGGGCTGCTATGGCAATATGCCGCATCATACAGCTAAAAACAGCAAAACGAATAATAGGGAGAAATCTCATTAATAACTAGAAGGAGAAATAGCTTATTAGCACTACGACTCTGACATCGAAGCTAAAGTAAGGCTTTTGTATTAAGTTGTTGCAAGAGTTTTCTTCAGTGTTGAAATTGGCTGTTTCATATTGTAGTGCATTCTTAAATAAATACCTTTATATTATGCATTATTTTAATGGTTGTTTATTGCTTTTTTTCTTGTGAATAACTTATTGTTTGCTATTTTGTTTATATTTTTTATAGAGTACGAAGACACTTAGACAAAAAACAGTTGTGAGCTAATCTGCTATTTGAGTTCAAACTGAATGATAAAGCAGAAAAGGCAATTTTCAGTATTTTCCGAGAAGGTGTTGGAGAAACGTCATACTGTCAACCGAAGCTGTCGAGATCAGTTGAAATGAATCACAAATGCTGACTTTCCGCGCATACAAGAATTTAATGCTGGTACTCTGATATTGCAAGCAAACTAGACAGGTGAAAAAGATTAATAAATGGGTGACTATGGACTGCGAAGTGTGACAAATCTAAAATACTTCTCAAAATCGAACTTAACCAAAAAAGTCACTGTTACTGCTTATTAATTTGCTACATTATAATTTTCTGAATCAGACAAAGACGTTACTCTGATGGTACACTCTCCGGATCAATCAGAGCATCTGTCAACAGGAAGAGTAATCTATCACGATACATTTTTATAATACAATCAGCGCTTCAACAAGTGTAGAGAAGTGGACTATGGAGTTCAGCAACATCTGACCTTTCATTAACTGATTACTGCTCGACAACTTTTCTTCTACAATTATTAGGATGAAAAAATATTTCCCGGAAGTTCGTCGATTCCCAAGGCGTGGATATCTATTTTATAACGCGGATATTTTAAAGAATAAACAGGTTTATTTCTTCCTGTCATAGTTCGTAATTCGACAAATATGTATCTGATAATTTGAAATTCACAGTGACTATTTACTAATATTACTCACTAAACTCTGGAGGTTAATGAACACCTAACACAGTCTTCTAAATATATATATATATATATCAGATGTAACAAAATGTACAAAAAAAGTAAAATTCCTTAAGTGCGAGATCCTTTATAAATGTCACTACCAAAGGACGATAAAACACAACAACTTATGCGAAACGAAAAACCCAGCCGTAGAATGTGTTGCATTTTTCTAGAAAAATTTTTTTAATTAATTTTTTTTAAAAAAAAATTTTTTTCTGATTTAATTAATTCTGTATTTTTAATTAAGAGATGTCGAACCTACTCAATACTTATGCAACAAACATACTGACAAAAAAGAAAAATGATGAAAAGGCAAAGTATTCGTCCAAATTATGAGAAAATCCTTCGAAATATTTCTAGCATTTTAAAAGAAGTAACAAACTTGGTTGGAAGAAGCAAGAGAATTTTGTGGTGCAGCAGAATGATTTAGAGGCTTCGCTGTATACGTTTGATCCGATACTGCCATATTTCCTCCTTAAAACATACATTTCATTAAATATTGAAATAAACTTATTAACTTGAATTCACATTGGTCCTTTTTTCTTTCTTTTTTTTGAATGACAATTTCCAAAAATGATCAAAAAATATAACCAAATAATGTTTCCAAAGTTTGTTGAACTAATATTGTAAAATGCATCATTATTTTTAAAGTGACAGTAAAATACTGTCACTTTCAAAATTGTACTGTTACAAACTCCTATTACATCTGATATATATATATATATAATTCGAATTTCACTGACAATTGTCAGCTAGACTTCTATTTCGTTTATATGCAGTCTTTCAAAATGCTGATAAAAACGAAGACTTTTAGCAACAGCCAAAGAAAAGAGTCAA